GTTCTTTTCATGCTAGTTCTAGTGACATGACATGCATGCGAATTTTTTGGCCAGATCTTAGAAAACTGGCTTAGTCTTGAATTGTATAAGTGAGAAAGAGACACTTTTGAAGATGAATAGAGACATGAAACAATTGGTCATGAGCCAAGTTTACATGGAACCAAAGCAGTCATGCTCATGGAATTTAAGGATCTCTACTTTTTGAATCATTGAGTAAATCGGGCTTAAGGATGATCGGACAGGTTGAAGTCTGTTTAGTACTAAGATAGAAAGTGTTTTTCAAAAGAAAGTGTATTCCAGACAACATGAAATGGATCAGTTTAATGGCGAAATGCACATCAAGCAAAATCCAAGAAAATTCACCTAATTGACAAGGGTCACTCACTTCGAGGAAAGTATTGCTCATACAGCTTTACACTGAAAAATACCCAGAAAGCAATATGTCAATCAATGTCGTGATTGTGAAGGGCTAACATGATGGCGTTCTCAAGGCTGGGAGGCCATTTTTCTGCTATCCAAATACTTTATACCCTTGTTACCCCTTTTGAGAATGCGTTATTTTCTTTGACCACCCTCTTTTGGAATCAAGTTTAGAGTTAAAAGTCCAAAAAAAAAGTCCATACCCCAAGAGTACAAATTGGAGTAACTCTTAGAAAGTTCAAGTGAAAAAAAAAGAACAGTCAAAGGTCCATGCCCCCAAAAAATAGAAGCTGGGGCAATTTATTTTGAAAAAAAAGAAAAAAAAGAAGAAGAAAAAGAAAGAAAGATGAAAAAAAAAATAGTTAGGTAAGATGTTTGAACTACGTTCGACCTGATTCCTTTAAAAAAAGGACACGTAGGCAGCCTTACACGCTTCGGTCCAACCAAATAAGAATAAAAAAAAACAAAAGTCCAAAAAATCCCTAGTATCTGAAACTGGGGCAAAGATTTTATTTTACTTTTGAAAGAGTCGATTCCAAGAATTGTAAGTCTACAACCCTTCATTTTCAGTCTACTTTGAGCCTTCATGCCGTCCCTTCTTTCCAACCTTATCCAAAGACCTTCCAAATAAAGACCTCCTGATATGCCTTCAAGAATGCCAAGAAAAGCATGCGATGAGCAACGATTGTGACGCGACATAGAACTCTATCAGGTTGCTCACACAAGAAAGCAAAAGAAAAAGAATAATAAAGCTGCGTGTATAAGAAAAACCGACAAATCGTACCACATCCATAATCCAAATCAAACCGAGAATAAAACCCGACTAATGGTTTGGTTTGACTTGGTTTGGTATTGAAAAAAAATCCGACCATAATTGATTTGGTTTTAACTAAAAAAAGTCAAGCCGAACCAAACCAACCAGACATTACATGTATACAAAATTTTTAAAATATTTTATACATAAAAGATTTACTTTTAATATAATTTATAAATATTTCTTAAGTTTTTTCATCATTTTTGTCTCTTAACATATTATTTGAAGCTTGGACTTACAATTTTGAATGTTCCAATAAGTTTTATAGCTTATATATGCTAGTAGCTCAAATAAAGTCAAAACCAAAACCAAATAAATATCAATGCTAACAAAAGTAATTTAATCCTTACACTAAGAACGACAACAATGTTGGATATCTTTACTTTAGTTTGCATTGTTAATTTAACCGATGAAAATATATAATTTTATTTATTTCTTTGTCATGTAATTAATACTTATTAGCCGAACTTATTCAAGCATGACTTAGTATTTTTAGATGATGATCATTTTCATTATGCTTTATTAGTTAGCAATATTTATTTTATACTGTTTCATTATCTTTTTTCTTGATATTTTATTACAATGTCATCACTCATTTTACCTTTTTGTTATTTTCTTAAGAAACACCTTAATTATATAGTTGTGTCTTACTAGGACTAAAGAAATATTTGAAGTAAAAGTTATATTTTGTATTAAAAAATTTCAGAAAAATCCCGAAAAACCCAAAAAAATATGAGGTCAAAAAACCCGACTTTTATTGGTTTGATTTTGATTAATCGATTTAAAAATCCGACATAGTTGATTTGGTTTGGTGTTTGAAAAATTCGAACCAGCACGGACCATGTACACCCCTAATTGCTGGTGCACGTAAAACGAAGAAGAGGACAGGAGTGACAAATCTACTGCATGCCCGCTGATATTTGCAACCCTCTTGACATTGATAAGAGAGATAGAGAACCTTCAAGCTTTCCTAGATTTGAAGGACAAGGAAAGAAGTATATTCGAAGGAGTTGAATACAATCGTGAGGACTTTGAGAATGTGATTGATATGCGTCAATGGATAGTTGATAAGGTGTATATATATATACAGATTAACTCAGCTTAATTGTGTGTACTTTTGATTTTCTAAAACAACATCAGAATTAATGTTTAAACAAATCGATCGATGATGTTTTAGCTAAACAACTCCAGGTAGTTAAACAATCTAATGTATTTGTGCTGTATACTTAACTATATCTTTTAAGGTATCATTTAGTAGCAACAACAACAACAAACCCAGTTTGATCCCAACATGTGGGGTCTGGGGAGGGTAGTCTGTACGCAGACCTTACCCCTACCTAATACAGGTAGAGAGGCTGTTTCCAATAGTCCCTCCGCTCAAGAAGGGCAAGAAGAGGAAGAGAGAAGAAAGGAAGGAAGAAAGATGGAAGAGAAAAGAGAGAGATAAAGGATAAGTAGTATCAAATAATAGCAACAGGGAATACAATACCTGAGGCGAACAAAATCACATATCGTAATAAAAATCTAAGAATATGAAGGGACATGCACGCTACTAAGCCTATTGGTAAACACTATAAACTACCTACTAACCTTCTACCTTAATCCTCGACCTCCACACCCTCCTATCAAGGGTCATGTCCTCAGTGAGCGGAAGCAGCGCCATGTCCTGCCTAATCACTTCTCCCCAGTACTTCTTAGGCCTACCTCGACCCCTTCTCAAACTCTCCATGGCCAACCTCTCACACCTCCTGACAGGGGCATCAATGCTTCTTCTCCTAACATGTCCGAACCATCTCAGCCGCGACTCCCGCATCTTGTCCTCCACGATGGCTACTCCCACTCTGTCCCGGATAGCTTCATTCTTAATCCTATTTTGCTCGGTACACCCATACATCCATCTCAACATCCTCATCTCTGCTACTCTCATCTTCTGCACGTGGGAGTTCTTGATTGGCCAACACTCAGCCCCATACAACATAGCGGGTCGAACCACCACTCGATAAAACTTAACCTTAAGTCTTAACGGTACATTCCTATCACACAGGACACCAGAAGCGAGCCTCCACTTCATCCATCCCGCTCCGATGCAATGTGTGACATCTTCGTTGATCTCCCCGTTACCCTATATAATAGACCCGAGATACTTAAAACTCGCTCTCTTGGGGATAACTTGACCATCAAGCTTAACCTCTACGTCTGCATCATGGGTCTCACTGAATTTGCACTCCAAGTATTCTATCTTGGTTCTACTTAGTTTGAAACCTTTAGACTCCAAGGTCTGTCTCCAAACCTCCAACCTCGCGTTAACTCCGGCACGCGTCTCGTCAATCAACACTATATCATCAGCAAATAGCATGCACCAAGGCACCTCCCCTTGGATGTGACGCGACAGTATATCCATCGCCAAGGCAAACAAAAATGGGCTAAGAGCCGATCCCTGGTGCAACCCCATCACCACAGGGAAATGCTCCGAGTCACCACCCACAGTCCTCACCCGAGTCTTAGCATCATCGTACATATCCTTAATCACCCTAATGTATGCTACCGGGACGCTGCTAACCTCGAAACACCTCCACAGGACCTCCCTCGGAACTTTATCGTATGCCTTCTTAAGGTCAATAAACACCATATGCAAATCCTTCTTCTTCTCCCTGTACTGCTCCACTAATCTCCTTACCAGATGAATCGCTTCCTCTCCTAGTCGAACGCCCCGGCATGAATCCAAATTGATTCTCGGAAATAGACACGCACCTCCTCACCTTGGCCTCCACCACCCTCTCCCAAACCTTCATAGTGTGACTCAATAACTTGATACCCCTATAATTGTTGCAATTTTGGATATCACCCTTGTTCTTGTAAAGCGGAACCATCGTACTCCACCTCCATTCTTCGGGCATCTTCTTTGTCTTATAAACAACATTAAACAAACCAGTGAGCCACTCCAAACCTTTCCGCCCTGCGCTCTTCTAGAATTCTATCGGGATTTCGTCTGGCCCCGTTGCTCTGCCCCTGCACATCTTACGCATCGCCCCTTACATCTCCTCTACCGTAATCCGCCTACAGTACCCAAAATCCCGCCGACTCTCGGAGTGCTCCAACTCACCTAGCACAATGTGTCTATCCCCCTCCTCATTCAACAGTTTATGGAAGTATGTCTGCCACTTTCTCCTAATGAGTGCCTCGTCCATCAACACTTTGCCATCCTCGTCTTTGATGCACTTGACTTGGTCTAAGTCACGGGCTTTCCTCTCCCTCACCTTGGCCAACTGGTACAACCTCTTGTCCCCGCCTTTGCCCTCGAGCTCATCACACAAACGAGCAAACGCTGCGTTCTTAGCCGTCGTAACTGCTAACTTTGCCTCTTTCTTCGCCTTTATGTAACACTCCCGATAAGTCCTTTTTTCCTCCTCGTTTGTACTCTCTACTAGTTTCAAATAAGCAGCTTTCTTAGCTTCCACTTTACCTTGAACCTCTCCATTCCACCACCTGTCCCCTTTATGTCCCCCATGAGAACCCGTCGTTACCCCTAAGACCTCTCCAGCAGCTACCCCAATGCAATCCGCAGTCATGGACCACATACTAGACGCGTCCCCCATACTCGTCTAGGCCCTCATAGCTAACAACTTCTCCCCTAACTCCTGAGCTTTGTCCTTGGTCAAGTTACCCCACTTGATCTTAGGTTGCCTGCACCCCGCCCTCTTCCTCCTACTTCTCTTGATCTCCAGGTCCATAACTAGGAGCCTATGTAGGGTCGTGATGTGCTCACTCAGGATGACCTTGCAGTAGTGCACAAACCTTTATCGCATTTCCTGCAGAGAAGATAATCAATCTGAGTCCTGCCCATTAAATTTCGAAAAGTGACCAGGTGCACTTCCCTCTTCGGGAAACTCGAGTTAGCTATAACCAAATCAAAAGCTCTAGCAAACTCCAATAGTGAATTACCTCCCTCATTCCTATCCCCAAAACCGTACCCGCCACGCACATCATCAAAACCCCCAACACTAGCCCCAATATGACCATTGAAATCTCCGCCAATGAACAACTTCTCTGTGTGGGATACTACGCACCATCTCGCCCAAATCATCCCAAAATTGCTTCTTGACCTCCTGGTTCAAACTTACCTGAGGAGCATATGCACTAATCACATTTACAGTAAACCCACCAACTACCAGCTTAATACTCATCAACCTGTCATTTACCCTCCTAACCTCAACCACGAGCTCCCTGAGATCCTTGTCTACTAAAATACCTACCCCATTCTTACCCCTAGTGCTCCCTGAGTACCATAGTTTAAACCCATCTACATCTCGGGCCTTAGTACCCTTCCATCTAGTCTCCTGAACACATGCTATGTTGATCTTCCTCTTCTGAAGAATTTTACCTAACTCTATATACTTCCCCGTCAACGTCTCAATGTTCCTGTGAGCACGTGATTTTTGCCCTACATGAATTACTCCCATAAATTCAAAACAAAATTATTTTTCCAGGGTTTGCAATTTTGTGAATTTTTGTGGCATTTTTGCATTTTTCTGTGCATTTTATTTTGTTTAATTAATGAAAAAGTACAAAAATGTGTTGCATATGCATTTAGGGGTTTTGCATTTTTAGAATTATTTGGTAATTAAGTTATTTTATAAAAGGAAAATAAAAAAAAATAGTCATTTCGCACCTTTTTATTTTTTAATTTGGATTTTTGAGTAGTTTTTCTTTAATCTATTAGTGTGGTAAATATTATTTTGAGTAAGCAGTTTAATTTGGTAAAATAATTAGTTTAAAAGTAACTTAGGATTTAATTTAATTTGAAAAAGAAAAAAAATTGATTAAAAGAAATGAAATGAGTCAAATATAAAAGGGGGCTGTGATTTGGGCCAATTGGGGCAGGCCCAGGTGAATTTCTCCTCCATACCCGCTTAAGTCCGGCCCAGCTCTACCCAATACCCGGTCCAATACCAAATCGAAACGGCGTCGTTTCGTGAAGTGAGGGATCTGAGCCGTTGATCTCTTTCAATCCAACGGCCAAGGAACGCCCTTCCCCTTTAGATATAATTGTTCGAAGATTCACAAAAAACATAGTATCTCTGTACTTCATCTTCACGCTTCATCTCCCTCAGACCCAAGAACCCTAATCCGCCGCCCCAAAAATCTCCAAGCATCCACCGGCGCCGCCTTCCCCAATCACCACCAAATCAACACCCTAGAGCCTCTTTGACCCCTTCTCCCCAAACCTGTGACCAGCTTCCCTCAAATCTGTCTGGAGCTCGTCGAATCTCGAATCTGAAGCTCGAGTCCTAAATCCAAAAAACATCAAATGAGCAGGGCTTTATGGGTTTGGGGCCGAAATTGATTTTAATCGTGTGTTTTCAATTGAGAACACACGATTAAGGTGCTTTTCGACCAAAATCGAAGTTTTCGTTGAGTTGCAGTTCAACTAGTGGCATGCCTAGGTTCGATTTTCATCTCGGTATTTCTTTTTGGTGCTTATCTTTTTATGTCCCTCTCTTTTGTTATTCTATTTGTTATGCATGAGTTTCTGTTTAACTTAGTTAAGTGTTAACTGTTTCTTTTTAGTTTACTTTGTGTTCGTAGATTAGCTTAGCTTCTTCTTCTTTTAATTTTGGGCCGTAATCGATTCCTAGGTTCACAATTTGGTTGGAATTTGAATCATGTTTCTGCTATGGAAACAGACCCGGGCCCAAAGAAGAGAATTAGCCCAGGTCTTGGTCGAGTTGGTTTGTTCGTTTTTGATGCGGGTCATTTTGACCCATGCTTGGATTGGTTTGGGTTTACCTTTTTCTTTTACTTTGAATTTAGGGCTAAATTTGTGCGAGAGTACTGATTCATGTTGGGTTTCAATTAATCTTAAAGCCCAATAGAGAATTGAACTGGTTTCTTTAGTAGACCCATCGAATGGGGTCGACTTGACCCAATTAGCTTGACCAGTTGACCCGGGTGGTAAAAGGGTAATAAACAGGGATTCAAAGGGTAGCCTGGGAATTGTAGGGTAGAGAATCTTGGATAATTTCTTAAAGAAGTTTCTAGCAGGGGCTGGTTTTAATTTTGACACTATGACTTGGCTAACAAGTCATAAAATCAGGGACCTAAAGGGCAAAACAAAAACTTGATAGATGCCCTACCTTCTTGCCTATAAAGGCATCATTTCTTGCCTTGGAAGGCAGATGGGAAGAGGGCTTAAGAGCTAAAAAATAGAGAAAAAATACAAAAAAAAATGGTGGCTGAAAACTTCAGTGAAATACTGTTCCATTGGTCTTTGATTTGATTCTTAAGGTCTCTCTTTTTTGAAGTCGTCTATGATCCATTTGGGTCAAAGATGGTTTAGTTTGGTGTTTTAAATACTGATTTTAAGCTGAATTTGGTGTTCGGAGTCTTGTTGCAATTCGAGTTTGGGATTTATATATTGAACTCAAGTCTGTTTAGAAGTTTGGGTCAGAAGCTGCTTGGTTTTGATTACTGTTATATTGTATCTGAGGTTGATTTCTGCTTCATTCCTACTGCTACCGATCTCTGCTGATATACAATTGCTGATCCTTCTTTATTCTACTCGTTCCTTCAATTTCAGGTACCTTCTGTAACTTATGAGTGGAGAGTGACATGATGAACCTGTAACATGAATGAAATTCTGTGAAGGCTGCATTTCAATCTGATTCTTCTGGCTTCCTTTGCAGCTTACATATTTCGTAATTAGATCTTGAACTATGGATATTAACTAGGTTTTCTTTTCTGAATGCATGTGTATGAGAATAACCTGCAGTGGTCATTGGTATTTGTACTGATAAATGGACTAAGGACTTTACCTATTCAGTTTTTCTTTGATGGACTTGAAATGATGTCGAGTAAAGGATCTCCCCATGATTTGCTAAGGTTTTGTTTTAAGTTTTGGTAGTCATTTGAATTGATTGAACTATTGAGTAGTGGTTGGTGTGTGTATTGATTCATTCAGATCTTTCCTTGTCAACATGATCCTTTTGAAGCCAAGTCTCAGATTCAAGTTTTTCTTAAAAACTAGTTGGAAGTTGAATTTAGCGTATTTTACTTGATATGGGCGCATGATGATGTTTAGTCGTATCACGTTGCTATAATAACGATTATAAAACGAAGTAAGTAGTTGGTACTTGATCTTCTAAAATCAGAAGCTCGTTAAAACAACTTTAATGACCTTATTTCAGAATTAATTGATTGATATTTTGATTTGGCTTAATAATTTGGAACATGATTTTCTGTGTTGATTTGATTTGGGCTTGCAAGGGCTCGACCTTGAGCCCGTCTCCTTCAATTGCTACGCTTTAGGTGATTTCGTCTTTGGGTTTTATTCTCAGCCGGAAGTTGTTTCTGAGTAGTTGAATCTGCGGCAGTTTCTCTTTTGGGCTCATTTTGGGCCCAAAGTTTGAATATTTCGCTGAGATGGTCTGTCCAGCTAAATGACTGAATTGCCTCATATCTGGGCCAGTGTTTTAGGCCCAAGCTGCTGAAGAATTTGAAATTGGTCTTGGGTTATTGGTTAAGTTCTACGGTAGTTTGGGGCCTTCCAAGCTAAGTAGCACACTTGAATTAAGAGGTTCCCCTCTTGTTTAAGTGTGGACTTGAGTTTGAGACCCGAATTCCTTGAAAGTTAGCTAATTAATTAACTCGACCCATAGAGACAATCTTTAATAGAAAATCGTAGTTCTTTTAGGTTGGCCTTAAAATAAATTGAGGTGCGCCGCGCCAAATGAAGTCACAAATTGCGTGGCCCTCTTTAATTGCCTTATAAAAAATATTTTAGAAATTCGGGACGTGACATTTAGCAAATTTTCATGGCCTCCCGCAAAGTTAACAAGACGCTAGCCACTTTAGGCGCGCTTTTTAATAATTTTACCTTCTTAACTACGGGTGTGCATTTCATGCGACCCAAATCCAAATCCTAAAACGTTGAATAAGAGGTGTCGAGGATCCGGGTGCATTTCATGTGACGTGATCCAAAAACACGCTCTTAAACGACGTTCACTTTCATAAAAACTAATTAAAAATGGTTAAACAATTCTAAAATTGCAATAGGATAACATGTATTAAAATAAGACTTTAGCCAAATATAGCAGTTGAGCGACCGTGCTAGAACCACGGAACTCGGGAGTGCCTAACCCCTTCTCCCGGGTTAACAGAATTCCTTACCCGGATTTCTGGTTCGCGACTGTTAAACAGAGTCAAACCCTTTCCTCGATTCGGGATTCAAACCGGTGACTTGGGACACCATAAAGCTCCCAAGTGGCGACTCTGAATCTTTTAATAAAATGAATCTCGTTTCGATTGTCCTTTAATTGGAAAAACTCCCTTTATTATACCCTTCACGGGGTGTAGTAAAAAGCAAAAGGAGGTGTGACAGTTCCAAGACCCAATTCGCAACCTAGAGGCTTTCTTACTCCCCTTCCCACCCCTGGACCCCAGCCCCAGCCCCGCCCGAGGACATGACCTTACTCTCACATCATTCACTACCGCCACTATAAGCAAAAGGTATTAGGTAAACACTACCACTGAGAACCAAAAATGGGAACGAAGGACTACAAGCTACGAACCAGAGGGCTAAAAACAACTCAAAGGAGTGACTAACAGAATTAAAATGGATAGACGAAACCCTACCAATTTTTACAAAGTTGAACAGAAAAATTCCAATGTACAACCAAATCAAACAAGATGTCAATTAAATTGTAACAAGAAGTAGACCCAAAAGTGACAAATACAAGCCAAACCTACAATTTTAAATTCCAATACCTAGTAACAAGAAGCAGATTTAAAAGTGGTGAATGCTAAAAAGAACCAAACTTTGCAATTTTTTTTAAATATCCAAAATACCCATTCTTAAGCTAAACTGAACAGAAGAATTCCACTATACAACCAAATCAAACAAGATATCACTTCAATTGTAACAAGAAACAGATTTAAAAGTGGCTACTACTAAGAAGAACAAAACTTTGAAAAGAATAACTAAAAAGATTAACACCCAGAAACAGATTGTTTAGATTCTTTAAAGAAAAAGGGGTGCAATTATACCAGTATCAAAGAATAAATATGCAATATAAAGTAATAGAGTAGGAACGTTAGAACCTGGTTTTGTCGTCGGAGACGTAATAACTCGTAGCTTCCGTAAAATTTCCAATTAATTTAATTAGGAAGCGTTTAGGTGTATTAAGGTGGGCCCAAAAGTCTAATGAAGTAGTACAATTTAGGAAATTTTACCTCCTATAGCAAAGGTATACACCCTATTTATTATAAATCAAAATTATTTTAAAATATTATTTGCTATAGCTACCTTTTATATTTTATAGCAAAATAAGTATTTATGCTCGGTCTCCCAAGTTGCCTCCTCGACCGGATGACCCCGCCACCGAACCTTTACTGATGCAATGCTCTTTGACCTCAGCTTTCGAACCTGCCTGTCCAGTATAACCACTGGCTCCTCAACATAAGATAGATCCTTGTCCAACTGGACTGAACTGAAATCCAACACGTGCGATGGATCACCGTGATATCTCCGGAGCATCGAAACATGAAATACCGGATGAACTCCTGTCAAGCTGGGAGGTAAGGCAAGCTCATAAGCAACCTCCCCAACATGTCGCAATACCTCAAAGGGACCAATAAACCTCGGACTCAATTTCCCCTTTTTCCCAAATCTCATAACGCCCTTCATAGGCGAAACCCGAAGCAAGACCCGCTCTCCAACCATAAATGAAACATCACGAACCTTCCGGTCTGCGTAACTCTTTTGTATGGACTGGGCTGTGCGAAGTCTATCCTGAATCACCTTAACCTTCTCCAAAGAGTCCTGAACCAAGTTTGTGCCCAATAATCTAGCCTCGCCCGGCTCAAACCAACCCACCAGGGATCTACACCGCCTACCATACCTAGCCTCATACGGTGCCATCTGAATACAGGACTTGTAACTGTTATTGTAGGCAAACTCCGCAAGTGGTAAGAATTGATCCCAAGAACCTCCAAACTCCATCACACATGCACGGAGCATATCCTCAAGAATCTGAATAGTGCGCTCGGACTGTCCGTCCGTCTAGGGGTGAAATGCTGTGCTCAACTCCACCCGAGTACCCAACTCATGCTGTACGACCCACCAAAACCATGATGCAAACTGAGTACCTCTATCTGAAATGATGAAAACAGGAATACCATGCAGACGAACAATCTCCCGGATATAAATCTCAGCCAACCGCTCTGAAGAATAAGTAGTACACACAGGAATGAAGTGCGCGGACTTGGTCAGCCGATCCACAATCACCCAAATGGCATTGAACTTCCTCAAAGTCTGTGGAAGTCCAACTACGAAGTCCATGGTGATTCGCTCCCACTTCCACTTCGAAATCTCTATCTGCTGAAGCAGGCCACCCAGTCTCTGATGCTCATACTTCACCTGCTAACAATTGAGGCACCAAGCTACAAACCCAACTATATCTTTCTTCATCCTCCTCCACCAATAGTGCTGCCCCAAATCCTAATACATCCTCCTCCAAAATCAACTCCCGAAGCCCATCAACATTGGGTACGCATATACGACCCTACATCCTCAATACCCCGTCATCACCAATGGTCACATCTCTGGCATCGGCATGCAGGACCTTGTCATTGAGGACAAGCAAATGAGGTTCATCATACTGACGCTCTCTGATACGATCAAACAAGGAAGACTGAGAAACCACACAAGCAAGGACTCGATGTTGCGCCCCCTTTTTCTCGCAAAATCGGGTTTATGACATTTGGGTATGGGACAACTCGTTCCTTTTGGGAACTGGGTTTTGCATTTGAAGAGTCGCCACCTAATGATTTAAGGTGCATTAGGACACAAATACGGTTCAATTCTAAGTTTTGTTTGAATAACCAGAGATAGGGCAAGGGCTTGAAATTATCCTCAGGGGAAGGTGTTAGGCACCCCTCGGGATCCACTAGTGTGGTTCCCGGCCAGACAGTTGATTGTGAATTTGGTTCAATTGACATATAAACAGATAAGGCTCAAATAAGAGGGGATTTTAATAAACAACTGTTTGAAAGTAAACAAAGTTTGAAAGAGCAATTAAGGCTGATTTTAAACAAGGAGTTGCAATGCTTTTAAAAGAAAAGGGAAATAAAGGAAGGGGTTCCTAGGTTTATTTAAAATATGGATCACATCAATGTAATACCCGGTAATCACTCCTCAAAAGAGGGGCTACACGTGGTATTAGCGCACCGGTCATCATATCCATATCTACCCTTTCCCACCCCGTTTAAGGTACTAAAGCGCGGATTGGTATCGACCACTATTGCATGCTATTACCCGTCCCATTCCTATCAGTCCCGGAGGAATTTAGGACTACTATTCCTAAAGGGGAGGGATATTAGGTTGATTTTGGTTTCAAAAGGTAAAAATATAAGGCGACATACAAAACAAATAATACGGCATGTAAAGGGAAACATGGAAACAAGTAAAGGCTCATGTATACCTCCTCAAACAAACACATAAATAGCATGACTTGCACATACATATAGGGTCTGATTAAAAATACTGAAAACGAGGGGGAGTTCAATTGTTGGAGCAGACCAGCTTAATACATAACTCAGATAAGAAGTCCGAATCAGGCCTGCCTGCTGGTTGTAGCAATTTCAAAAGGCGGATTCAATTTTATTATTGCTACCATAAGGCTTGCCTAAGTGTTTGGGTGAGCTCTTAGGAACATAGTATCTACTTACTGATTTAGAAGTGTGGCAAAGCAGAACAACTTTAAAATGAATGGTTTGAGACCCTATAGGCATGCTTGCTAGACCTCGTTAAATAAGGAAATAGATTATTTAAAACTGATTCAGAATAAGCTGATTTTGAAACAGACTAGTTTC